GACAGATCCCGTAGTTTGTCCATTGTTTTCCCTCGCTGGCACTGAAAGTTACGTCATTGGCACTTGCTGTCCTAACAAATCCGCGAATAGACCTATTAACAACCTTAGCTGGGCAGCTTTACCATCTCCAAATATCTTAGGCGTCCCTTATTTTTGCAGATCCCTAAATTTAACCACGAACTTTCACTTTCAGCCCCATTTGAGTCGGTGTTCGTTTTTGAGGGGCCAGGTTGTGTATATGGCTGGTGCAGACGAGTTCTCTGTGGCCATTTTTCGCACCGGTTAGCTGATTGGTTCGGACGGTGGCTCAGTCTATTTGCCTTCCCGTAAGCAACCTAACGCTCTTGAAGCTAGCACAATGTGCTAGAAACCATGGCTTGTAGGATTGCCAAATTATGACTGGGTGACAGAGGATTATCTATCCCTTTGAAAAGTCAACCGACATTCTGAAATGCGTGTTTGATTTGAACAAATAACTTAAGTATGGTTGTGGTTCATATTATCCCACAGTCTGATTCCAAACTAATGCAGTCACGTCAGGATGTTGGCTTTCGAAACGAGATTCTTTCTGACCGACCGCAATAAGTATATTTTATAAAATAAGTGGCTTTCATCTGAAGGAATCGCGTTCGAAAGGCAAAAGTCTCATATACTTTGGGATTTGGCTGTACTGTAACGAATAATAGAAACCTTCTTAAATAATCGGCTGGAATCAAAAAGGACATAATGTTTGAAACAAACAACGGGCAGATTAGCCTGTGCCTGGCTTGTAAGTAAAAGATGCGCGCAGCCTTGACAAGACGTACCGAGGAGTTAAAATGCACCTTGAACTGGCGAAGTTCTTATATACATAATGACAATTATGCGCAGAGCGCAGTGTTTTGCTGTTAAGACAGTCCCTTAAATGTTCTATTGTTTACACTCCGCCTTCTATGTTTTAGAGCAGAATGAGGAAGCACGGTACACTCTCGTGGAGTTCGTTCCCCCTGAAAATTCGTCCACGCCATCGTGCGGGAAGTTTGATCTATGGACATGGGCGCATCGCGGCTGGGTGCATGGCTTAAAGGATATCCACCGAGCTTTCCCTTTGCCCTGATTTCAATATTTGTCTCAATTTAATAAGATTTGCGTGCAATACACCACTTTTTATGTTCCCTTAATTAATTTCCTCATAGTAACGTGACATGGTTTACTTCAAATCTCACCTTCTAATTTTTCCCACTACTATTTGTACTGCCGCGATCCCCAATTCAGCCCAACGGTTCGCGTGAACTAAGCATCAGTCCTCATGTGTGTTTGTATGCTGGTCTTGTCGAAGATGAGATTGTTCGTTTCGAAAACGAAACCCCAAACTTGTCACCGCGATATCCCTATGTTGGATCTTCAGGCAGATACAATGCGTGACTCATCGTGGCGTTCAGTTAACTCTAGAGGAATTTTAGAGCTGCCATACCCAGTAGCGAGTGGATATTTTGAAGGAGCAGTCAGGAGCTTGTTATTCGCTAAGGCGTGGTCTCTTAGATGAAACTGATGCGTTTTTCAGCCTATAAATGCACCTCATTAGCATAAATGTTAAGAGAGACAGCCTAAACAGGACAGATATCAAAGTTCCAACTTTCCTCTAATCTCACCTAAATCTCCACTCATAGCCTGCGTTTAAAAAAAAAGACAAACCGATGAGTATTGTTAATAGAAAAGGAAACGTTGGATGGTGTCCTGGGAGCTGAGCTCTGAACACCAG